AAACATGATTTATTTGAATTTATACAAGTGAAAATTGCCAAAACTTTAAGATTTTTCAATTGGATTTTTTACACATGTCTAATTGAATTTAATATTACAAAATTTAAACAAATTCTAACACAAATTTTGATCAAAAGTTGTTGCAATATCGTTAGAAAAATAGTTTCAATTACTTCACAGATATAATGAATTAAAGAATTCATTAAAGATTCAGTAATTTAATAAACAATTAATTTTATTAAGTTGCTTGATTTGATAAAGGTAATATAATTTGCACAATGCTAAAAACTTTATTTATTCTGACCCTTTTACTTGTTTTTGCTCAATCAAAATGTCTAATGATATTAATCCAAAAGAAACTGTAAATGTTCCTTTAGTTTATCTTTTGCAATTACAGCATCTTGCAATACAATCCATTGAAAAAAAGCACCATGATTTTTTGGTGAAAAATAATGGTAATAAGGAGCTTTCTAAACTGCCAAAAACTTCAGAGAAGTCTTCTGAGCTCCCTACAATTTCCAAACATGCCAGTGCAAAAAAAAAACCTCCTCGTCCTCCTAATGCTTTTATTCTCTACCGCCAAGCAAACAACCAGCAATAGTTGCTACTAATATGAATATTTCAAATAATGAAGTTTCAAAAAGAGTCGGTGACATGTGGCATAAAGAGTCTTTGGAAGTAAAAATTAAGTTCCAACTTTTGGCTGATATTGCCAAATTAGAGCATATGCAAAAATACCCTGAATACAAATACCAACCTCGCCGTCCGCATGAAAAGAAGAGAAGAACTAAAAGAAATTGTCATCTTTCAATAAATGAAATCTCTTCTCGACCAAATCAAGAACAGAAAACGGGCATCTGTGATTTTTCTAAAACAAAGTCAAAAACTATTCATGAAAATCATTCTCAGCATGGAGAAATAAATTCAGAAAATAATAATGAACTTGTCAATCAGAATGTGAACAAATATAATTTCCAGTTAATAGGCAACAATCTAAATTTATCAAATGAAATTTCAGAAAACTCTCAGGAAATTACAAGTATGTTTAATTGATCATTCATATTTTGCTATAAACTATGCTAACTAGGAACTTAATGTCACAATATTTGCTTTCTATCAACGAAACATAACAGGAGATTTAAACATATTTAATTCAGAGTACCTTAATTATAATCCTTACAATTCTTATCTTTCACCATTCACTTATCTTTTACCTTATCCATATACCTACTTTATTTGAATTATACTTTGTAGTAGGATCAGTCCTGAAAAAACCTAACCAGCCTTATGGCTATTCGGTCCTCGGTCTTGAAACTAGTCCGGACCGGTCTTCATCAATAGTTAAAATAACTAATTAAAATTATTAAAAAAAGTATGCTACATGTTCGCTTATTTCAATTGCTGACATCGCATCATCTAATTTAACATTCTCTACTGATATAGTTGTTAGACGAAACCATGTGATGATAATCATCACCTATTATAAAATACCAAGACCTAAAAATTTAATCTAATTTTTATTCAATAATGATATGTGACATTTAGCATCACATGGTTTCGTCTAACAACTATAGACTGACTCTCTACTAGCACCATTTTTGAGACCGAGACTGGTCTTATTAAAGACCGGGATGAACTGGACCAGGCTGATCCATTTCTGCTTTTATTAGCAATATTTTACAATTCTTACTCACTATTAATATGACGCAGAATATGCGTAATGATTTAAAAAAGTATATGATAAAAAATTTAAATTGGCATTTCTTGAATGTAAATTTCAAATCATTTAATTTTCATATGTATCATATTCATATGTATAATATTAAAATATTAATGATATTAACTATTCGGCTAAACTAATATTTTCAAACTCGTGTCTAGCAACTTTGCATAATAAAAATTACTCAAATATCCTTCTCTTTTCAACCCCACAATTAGCGCCAATTTTTATCTTTTATCCCATTCCCTAATACATGTTTTTTCGTATTTTACAGGCCGGACAACCCCCCTCTGTAAAATATTTTATATTGATAAGCATTATATTAGTTTAATTAGTAAGCATAAATTTATCAATATAACGATATTAATTGCTAAATATGAATTCTGCTAGAGGTTGCTATATAATGTAGTATATATGATTATTAAACATTACTTTTGTAGAGAAGTCATTGCTTTAAAGAAATCAAAATAGAAGTATTAAAAATAATAATTATTAATTGCAGTTTTTTGTTTACTAAACAAACTATTAACCTTATAGTTTCACAAGATCTAAATATTTTTTATATTGCCGTAAAATTTTAAGACGTGACATGATGAATTTCAACAATAGCTGATCTATTCTATTTTCATCTAATGGTGTTTATGCTTTTTGCAAATGTGTTTGCATATGTATAAATTTAAATTATATTTAAATCTAATTATTATAGTTTATTCAAAAGCTACAACCAAAGTTTTAAAGTACAATTTTATTAACTATTAGTTTATGGATCACATATATGAACTCAAAAAGATACCAAAAAACATTTAGTAAAGAAAATCTTATAGGTTGGATTATAAGAAGAAAAATTTGCTATATCTATATAAATTTTAAAAATAGAAAAGTAATTAAACCTAATAATAAAACATATATATAGTAAGTTTTAATATTTAAATTGATGAATCAGACAAAGAAACCTTAACATTATCGTTATAGAATAATGTTTTCTTTAAACATGCAACGCCAAGTTGCACGCCAAACATATGATACACAAACATTTATTGTGTATAAATATAGAAAATGAAGTCACGTGGATGAATCATCCAATTAGATGCAAAACACACTACTTAGAGTATCATGTAGTAGATCATATCTAAATTATTTAACGGTAACTCTAAAGTGTAATATAATTCATTAAAATACGTGGGTATATCATTAAAATAAGAAATATCATTACTATAAGTTTGATACGGAATTTGGTTGATAATAGATTCTTCGCGAGGAGGCGAAAGAGTCGATAAAGTCTTTGCACTAATCATTTTCGATGAATTTTTACTAGTGTCTTTTGTACGTTTTTTTGGCTTATATACATAGTTTGGATATTTTTGCATATGTTTGAGCTTCATACTGTCAGCAAGTTTTTCCAATAAAGTATTATTTCTTTTTTTTCATTTTTCCACATTTGAGAGATAACCTTGGATACTTGAGCATTTGTTAGATTTTTATTTTGTGTCATAACGTCAAATTGTTTGTCTTTTCTATATAGAATAAAAGCATTTGGAGGTCTAGGAACTCTATTAACTTTGTCTTGCCTTGGTGTTCGTTTTCTCACTTTGATGGTCTCGTTTTTTAAGATTAAAGTATCACAGTCATTTATTTCGTAAGAACGATTTAAAATTGAAGCGTTAAGGTCATTAATTTCGTTAAGCATAAACACGTGACAGGATTCTTTAAAATGTTCATTCATTTTGTTAAACGCAAAGATTTGTCTTAAATTAGGGGTCATCTTATATAATGTTTTTTTTTTCAAAAATCAGTGAAATTCATTTATTCTAATTTTTTCTTATCGCAAATAGAGTTACGTTTAACTGAGTTTATTGGTTTTCAATAAAAATTGATTTATAAGTTTGATTTAGTCTTACTAATAACAAAGAAATTTTTATTTTTGTGTAAAAACCAATAATTCCTTGAGTTAAGTTTGTTTGCACAATTTTCATTGACATTAAAAAAAACTAACGTTGATAATCTTACAATACCCAGGGTCTTATTTAAGAACTCTAAAAATTTATTATACTGGGTAATATTTACCTATCCAACGGTTAAATTGAAGATAGATGCTTAATCTGGTAACTAAAGGATTTAATTACGTTACATCGAATCACGGCTATTTTTATTTAAGGAATTAATTGAATAACAAAGTTTGATATTTTTAGATTTATCGTTATTATTTATCAGACTTCAAATATGATCACATTATCTGTTACATCAAATTATGACTGTTTTTAATTACCAAATCGTTTATTCATGTATATTTCACAGCATCGGTTTAATATTTTAGGAATAAATTAAGGAAGTCATCAAAACGTTTGTTAACAAGATAATAAATTGGCATAAACCTGAAATATTGAAATCTGCTTTTTTTTTCAGATTATAAAATTTTATTTGAAAATAAACTTCATGATAATGGCTAATAAAATTGACTTTGATTTTACTGATGTCGCAGCAAGTGAAATACAAGAACTTCTAAAATTTAATTCAAAAACTTACCTTCCTATGAAAGAATTAATTTACAATCGTAGTAATTCGAAATGTCAACCAAGGGCACAAAATGGATTTGTACTTTTTCGGAAAGATTTAAATGCTTTCAAGAGTTCTTCAAAATTAAAAATCGGTGACGCTTCACGCCTCGCCAGTAGGCTATGGAATGGAGATCCTTCATGTAAAGGTGATTCTTCCTGTAAGCTATGGGAAAAAATTAATATTGATGAAATAAAACCTTTTTATAATAAACTGTCAGAAATTGCGAAGAAGGTTCATAGACTTACTTTTCCAGGATACAAATACAACCCAAAACGTAAAAAATATTCATATTCATATTTGTGTAAATTTAGAAATTTTTATTGTTACAAACACTACGACTACTCTACTAGTAGGTACGCTTTTGAACAAAACCAATATCCTATTAAATTTAAGAATTCCATATATAATAATAATAATAATAATTTGTATTATGATCCCTACTACTCTGGTGTTTTTGAACCAAACAAAACAATTGATTCAAATCTTACTGAATCTGTTATTAAATATTCTATGGAGAAGTTTGTTAACATTTAATTTTCTCTTATCTCAATAATATTAAGCTATTTATCTTTCACGTCATATAATATGATCTTTTAATACTGTACTTAAAATTATTTAATAGCTTCTTTTCACTGTAACTAGCCACATACTATCTAGTTAACAAACTATAAGTTGTAATTCACATTTATACGTTTACATGGATATATTTTTTATTATTTTACATCATTAAATTTACTCTTATTGATTGTTTTAGAACTAATGTTAAAGTATCTGAAATCAAATTCGAGTTGTTATCCTTGGAGAGAATTGTAGTTGATACTTCAAATGGTAATGACTTGTAAATCATGATCATAATTGCACAATAACATAAATATCTTATAAATATTCCGTTTGCCCAAAATTTTGGAATCGCACAAATGACACAAATCATAATCTACTTTATTTTTTACGAGTACCTGGATAAATACGGCAGTACAAAAAAACCCAAATTTGGGTACAAGAAGTATAATAATAATAACCGTTAATTTGTCGTTCAATATGCAAAAAAATCACATAGTAAATACTTTTTAAAAAAAAGAGAATTTTGTAATATTATTTGATCTTACAGCTTCTAGAACATTTGTCACATCTAAGCTTTTCTTTACGACCTTTAAATTTGTAATCATAAGTTTTAAACATGTATAATAATGTTTCAACATTTACAGAAGCATTTTTGAATAAATACAACAGATTCTTTAAATGAACATGGGTCCATTATTATTCTAGTGTATTCATTAATAGATTCATAAAATTCAATAACTTTTTTGATAATAACTTTATTTAGTATAACCAACATCTTTAATAATTAGATTACATTAATTACCTTTTGAGGACATCGACTGTAAGCGTCATCAGCCCAATAGACCATTTCTTGTCCGTTAATCCTAAAAGAAAAGAATAATTAAATGTGGGGATTATGTTGAAATTTGGATCATGCTAAAATGTTATATAAGCTATATAAAAAGATAACCTCTAAACCCTAACTCAAGCAAGGTCCTAACCTAACCCTAAAAAAAAAATTTATAAATATATTATAATAATGTAAATACCATTTCAAAACAATAAATAATTTTCCAAATTTATAATCTTTTAGTATATATACAACACCTTCTAAATATGGATCTCAACTATTGTATTCAACTTGGATGTCCATTTCTTTACATCTATTTTCATTATTCCACAATTTTGAAGTAGCTGATTTTTTTTCATGTTGTCGTCTTTTATAACTGCTATTTTCAAACGTCGAAAATCGACTATTAACCCGTACATAAGGGTTGTCTAATGATAATGGAATCTACTTGTAAATTATCAACCAGCTTAAATTTTCTGGAGTTTTGATTTTGATTATTGCCAACTGCAATATAATACCTTCAGCACTTTTTCACTTTCAGATATATCAGAATCTATTGTCAGAATTATCAACATTTTCAGAAGAGCTCGGTACCCCATATGTAAACGTTTTATATTTGTTGATTGTCGTGTAATGTTGGGAATACTAATTTATAGGCAGACTACCAAGACCTAAAAATTTAATCTAGTTTTTATTAAATAATGATATGTGACATTTAGCATCACATGGTTTCGTCTAA